ATCAAAAAATTTCTCTATGTGACACGGCACCAGAGTTAAGTTAGGGTTTTCAAAATGCTGACACGCTGAGCTCAGAAGGTTCGCCATCACTGCCTTAAGAGATATCAAGTAGGAATAACATGTTCTCAAAAAATTAGGGTTGGCACACAGAAGAATTTTGAGTCAGAGATTTTGCTGGTTTTGGCACACACTCACAAAAAGGTTGCCCACCCCTGCCCTAGGCCCAATTGATGCATTGACAGGTGTGAGTTCTCACTGCCTGAGACGGCTGTAAAAGAACCCAGATCACTTGCCTACCCACTACAGGTGTAGTAGTCTATTAGGCACTTTATTATTTTTTTTAAATATATTTTATTGATTTTTTACAGAGAAGGGAGAGGAATAGAGAGCTAGAAACATCAATCAGCTGCCTCCTGCACACTCCCCACTGGGGATGTGCCCGCAACCAAGGTACATGCCCCTGGCCAGAACCGAACCCGGGACCCTTGAGTCCACAGGCCGATGCTCTATCCACTGAGCCAAACTGGTCAGGGCCTATTAGGCACTGTACATGTTATCTCATTAAATCATAACATGAGATGAGTACATAGCATAGTCCCCATTGCAACTCCATAGCTCAAATCGCAAGGTCACAGGTCACTTAGGTGTTCCTAGGCTAAACCTGAAGCCTTAGGAGGCCTCAAGACTTCCCTGGTGCTTGGACTTCTTTGCAGTTGTTCTCCAAGGAGGAGCAATTGGCATTTAGGGACAGAGTGCTTCTTGGTGCAGGACTGTCTGACAGATTATAAAAGCTTTGACACTGGTCACTTAAGGCTATGACAACCACAAATGCCCCACACTTCCAAGCGCTCTTGAGGTGTGGGTGGGTGGGTACCACCTCCACTTGAGAAGTGTTAAGCTATTCATACTCATTCCACCAATAAATGTTTATCAAGTGTCTTCCCCATGCCAGGCACTCTGCTGGCACAGGAAGCGGTCAGTGGGAAAGTATAACATTTAAAGTGGTGCCATAAAATGCAACAGACCAACATGCTGTGAACACAGAGAGGAAACTGTGTCTAACTGCCTACGGTGTCCAGGCCAATCTTGGTGACCTGTCACCATGGAGTGACTCCAGGAGAGTTTCAGATTTGCTGTTCAAAGACCATTCACATGCCCTATCTGAATCTTAATTATTATTTTACTCCAGCCTCTGTGCTAATTCCCACTAAGAATTAATTGCTTTGTATGAAAAAAGGAAACCACAGTAGGATCTATCCTTCCTACCTCACAGAGTCGATATGGGAGAAAGCACCGCTATGTATGTTGGGTAATGTAGCAGGGATTCGAGTCTGGGCCCAATTTGTGTTCTCGGCTGGGGATCAGGCATGTCTGGAAATGTCTGATGACTTGGTGGAACCGGCAGCCTACTGGCCTCTATTTTAAAGAATTTGGTTTCCCTGGATTCTCATCTGAGCCCTGTGGAGAGAGAGGTCGTTTGCAGAGGTTAAAGAGACTGTTGTCACAGTGTTCTGTGAGAAGAAACGGCTCAAGCAATGCTACCTGGGTACCCAGAAAACAAAGTGAGGCCCAGAGCTGGGGGCGGGGAGCGCTGGGGTGTGGCAGGAAACCTTTTCTCCATCTCTGCCCCACACAGCAGGTCTTAGGTCCTTGAGGACTGCTGAGTCCCCAGTTCTGCCAGAGCCTTTTGTGCAGATGTCGGGCCCCTTGTGGCAGCAGTAACCGTGAGGAGATGACCACCTCTGAAAGCTTCTCAGGCAGGAAACATCAGCCAGGAGGGCCAGGAGCAAAACAGTAAAAGGCAACTGACAGGCAAACAGGCGAGATAACCCTACACACCCTGAGAATACTCACTGAGGTTTGGCTCCCGGAGAGGGTATTTATTAGCTAATGAAATGTGATCTATTGCTGTTAATGTGGCCAAAGTTGTACCCACAGGCTAGGAAAACTTGGGTTACTGCTATTTGCTACCATAATGACATAGGGCACACTGGCACAGTGGCACAGGAGGAGAGAAGATGGCTGTCCAAAGGGCAGCTCCCAGCATACATCGCCTGCCTTCCCAGGCCCATGATGGGGAGGCACTGAGGTGGAAGCCACTGCCTTGGAAACCTGGGTTTGGAATTGCCTTCCTCCTGATGGACAGGATACTGGAGAGAGCAGTTTCCCCCAAAACTACCTCACTCTTAGAAAAAGCAAAATGACTCTTTAAGAATGTTTCCCAAAAGTGATGGTACCTGGGCATTAGTACTTGACTCTGAATTTCATGCAGATTCATGAAACAGTGACTCTGGACAACTCATGATGCCAAGGGGATGGCACTGAATCTCACCTCTAGAAACTTCCCAGGGGTTGTAAGAGCTAATATGTGGTCGAACAGCTCTTCACTAAGTAGGTGATTGAAAAACATCCCCCTTTCCTATAATGAACTTAATTTTCCTACTGTGGCAGTCCCTATTTTCACAAGATGGTGACTTTATCTCCCATCCTGCATGCTCCTCTTACAGCGTGACCCTGACGTTCCTCCCATTGAATGGGGGGTCTGCGTCCCCTCCCCTAGAGTCTGGGTGAATCTCTGTGACTGTCATAGATACAGAGTTCTGTGGAAGTGGAGCTCTGTGACTTTGAGGCTAGAGCATCACAACTCCATGCACTTCTGCCCTGCTGTCTTGGAGCTCCGTCCCTATGCACTGAAGAAACCCAAGCAGGTGTGGAGAGGCCCCTGTGGAGAGAAACCAAGGCTCCCAGCCCCCATCCAGCTGAGCTTCCAGACAATGGCCAGCACTGACCAGCCAGCCATGTGTGTGAGGAACCCTGAAAGTGGATCCTCTAACTTTGGTTGCAATCATTTCTTCATGTTGCAAACATACTATTGTAGCTCTACCCTGGCTGTTCATGATTAGGTCCACCTTTGGTCTGCATCATTTTATTTTTTACAAAACTCGAGGCCCGATGCACAAAATTCGTGCAAGCGGGGGAGGGAGGGTCCCTCAGCCTGGCCTGCGCCCTCTTGCAATCTGGGACCCCTCACTCCTAACGGCCCACCTGCTCCCTCCTTACCACTTGGTCACTGCTCCTTACACTGCCGCAAAGGCAGGAGAGGCCCTACTTCTGGCTGAGCGGTGCTCCTGTTGTGGGAGCGCACTGACCACCAGAGGGCAGCTCCTATGTTGAGCATCTGCCTCCTGGTGGTCAGTGCACGTGATAACAACTGGTCGTGTTGGTTGTTCCACCATAATGGTCGCTGGGCTTTTATATATATAGACTAGTGACACAGTGCACAGCTTCCTGCACATTGAAAGGAAATTAATTAGAAGATGGCCACTGGGGCAGGACTGGGTGAGATGGGCCGGACATGCTCTGGAGCCAACTTCCCGTGGTCCCTCCCTGGCGTCTAAGGAGTGAGCGGAGTCCCTCCAGCAGGTGGGGACCCTCAGCCTGGCCTGCGGGGATCGAGCCAAAACTGGCTCTCCGACATCCCCCGAGGGGTTCTGGAGTGCAAGAGGGAACTCTGCAAAGTTGCTCTCGAACAGAGTGTGGAACACAAATGCAAGTGTGCATTAAACCAGATTCGGGGCTGACAGTACCCCAGCAACAACATAACCCATAGCCGAAGGTGGAATTGCACGGCCCCGCGAGAAATCGGGCTCCCTCCTCTCTGGTTCCGGGCTGCATCACCCAAGAACCACCGCTGCCAAGTCATTGCAGCTCGGCAGCTTCTGCTTTGAGCGTCTGCCCCCTGGTGGTCAGTGCACATCATAGCGACCGGTCAGACAGTCTGACACTTAGCATATTAGCCTTTTATATATATAGATAGAATGATTTTCTTTCTAAATCCTACCAGTTTATGCTTTAGAATTTGTTTCATCACAAATTATTAAATTTTGTTAATGCTGGCCCTTCTTGAGGGAAAATAGCAGAACTTTAGAAGCACAAGACAGCACTTGGATGCTCATACTCTGAACACTCTTCTAAAATTATCAAAGACGTAAAGAGTTCAGCTTTTCTCTAAAGGTACCACACCCTAGGACTAGAAAATGGTCCTTTGTGTTGGCCTGTTGTGTTGGGGTGGGCGATAGACAGAAGGGGATGTGAATTTTCATTTATCATCCAAGTTCCCTTCCCCTCATTTTATATTGTCAGAAAGATATGTCCTTGTTTTACACTCATTTAAAACATACTCGCCTCAATCATGTCCCCAATTTTAACTTTGTGAAGTAGGGAATAAAAAAAGAAAGGTCTGCTGTTACACTAATTTTACTTATTCTCACCTCATTTCAAAACCACGTGACTCTCCTTGCTACATTTCCACCAGCCATTTTCTTCTGCAACCTGTAGGTTTCCTGCAGAGAGAGGACAATGGGCAAGTTAAGTGAGAGAGCTGCTGATTTTCAAGGCTTTTCTCCTTTTGCTCTAATTTACAGGAAATCATGGGAAGACAAGCAAAACTCCACATCACTGAAAGATTCGTTGTGATGTGAGGGGCAAAATGAATAAACAGAATATATTTTATATTAGTAAAACCAAATATATTTGATGGCAGTAGTTTGCTTGTGCCTTGGATATTATTAGTAAAAATGCCTTTTTTTTTTTTTAACTGAAAGGATATGTGTTTTTATTTCAGAATAGTGGCCTGGTTGCATGGATTCGTGCACATTGAAAGGAAATTAATTAGAAGGAATATTTTAATATCACTATTCACCCTTTGTCTATAATAGGAGTGTCAACCAAATTCATGATCGACAATGACAGATCAAAACACACACGTGTGGTTGGCGCCAGTGCGAGCTTTATTATATGTATCGCACATGTCAACTTAGCCTTTTATATATATAGAATAAACTTGCTTAATTAGACCTGCTTTCTGATGTAGCTCAACTTTTTCCAGCCCAGTAAAACACCCCAACTTCTCTTTCAGGTAATTGTCAGCAACCCAGCAGTAAATATCAACATGAAGCAGATTATTATTATAGATCATGCAGGGAGAACCAAGGGTAAAATATTTAATTTGCAGTAGTGTTTGACTATATTCTGTGCAGTGACAAAGCCTGAAGTCATTTTCAAGGTCCACCATTTCTTTTCAGTCGGGTCAAGTTTCTAAACTTTCTAAATCTCCGTTTTCCGGCTAATGAAAATAGGATTCCACCAAGTCTCCTATCTACCTACTCCAGGACTTCTGTGAGGATCAAATGAGATGAGGCACAGGAAAACACTTCACAGACATTTTGTTAAGGTGTGAAATGTTTGCACCTGGCTATAAAGCAAGTCGTGTTCTGAGCTGAAGATACTGCAAGGAAGGTAGTCATCACTAGGGAGAAGAAGCCAGGTGTTGCTATGTGGTGTCATTACCCGGCGCCCACAGCAACTGTTTCTGGGCTGGGCTAGGCTGTGGGCCGCATTTTGCACCATGGGGTCTTGGCAGCATCAGCTGTGATTTGGTGGGATATCGCTCTAGAGTGGTGGCAGGGCCTATGTCCCACTTGGGGGATAAAAGAAGTTTAACCCTACAAAGTTTTAGTCTTTCATATAAAAGACATCCAGAAATGAGCAGTCCAGGGCTGGTAGGGCAGCATTACAAAGATCAGGACTCCAGGCATCTTCTATCTTTCTGCTTTACCATGCTGGTGCCCCAGTTTCTTGTATTGGATCCTGGCAGTCAGAGGTGAAAAGACAAAGGAAAACCCATACAGCACCCAGCTTACAGGGCCTCTCTTTAACAGGCCTGCCTAGACAGTCCATACAACTGTCAGTTTACATCTCCGTGGCCAGAATGTAATCCCATGATCATCCCTAGCTGCAAGGAAACTGGGAAGAGATTAGCACCATAGCATATAAAGGTCCCTTCCTTCTCTGATTTCCTCCAGTGCTTATTTGTCTGCACTATATGATCCAAGACCACCTATAGCTTCTCCTGTTGTTCTGGTCCCACAAGCACGCAGAGTTCTTTACTACGATGTTGAGCTCCTTGGAATAATTGCCACAGCCCTTTTATGCACCCTTTACAGTTCCTGGTATGAAGCTAGAACACATTGCCATACTCTCAAATTGTAGAAATTCTATTTCTCGTTAACAGAGGAGAGTACATTTTGGATAGGTAACTACTAATCTGATACAATATCTTCAATGTCTGATAATTCACTCATCATGTATATTACATTTTAATTTAATACAATTGAGTAAATATATTTAGAGGCACTCTTCTGTTCCAGCTCCAAACCAAGAACTCTTATAAAGTGTGGGAAAAGCATGTCATACAGTCATACCCTCAAGGAGCTTCCTTTCAGTAAGGAGCTCTGCTTGCTCATGAAACACAGGAAATAAAAGACTATAATCGGCCTTATACAACATAGTGCGGATAATAGCGTTGGAGGAAATTGGAGAAGAGAGGGCCCCTAGAGCTGTTCTTTTTCTGAAGGAGATAGAACTGGCAGTGGGAACCGAAAAATACAATGGACATGAGTGTTAGTTAATTTTATGTATCAACTTGACTGGAACTCGGGGCACCCAGATATTTAGTTAGACATTAGTGTCTGTGAGAATGTTTCCACTGATTCAGTATTTGAATCAGCAGACTGAGCAAAGCCGATGGCCCTCCCCAATGTCAGTTGGCCTCATCCGATTCTTTGAAGGCCTGAATAGAACAAAAAGGCTGAGTAAATGAGAATTCTCTCTCCTCCTCTTTCAAGCTGGGACATTTGTTCTCTCCTGCTTTAGGATTCAGACTGAGATTGGAATTTACACCACTGATCCTCCTGGTTCTCAGGCCCAAGACCTGGCTGGAAATGTATCATCAGTTCTCCTGAGTCTCCAGCTTGCTGACTGTAGATTTTTGGGCTTTTTAGTCATCATATTCGCATTCTTTGCAGAATCCTGACAATACAAGTAGGCAGCAAAACCTTCAGCACAATGAGCATCTTTTAAGCCTCAGACACAGTGATAGGCACAGAAATACAAAGCTGAAAAATACATGCCCATTTTTGAAGTAAGTTATAGATTACTACTGGGAGAGAAGAGAAAAGACCTCCCAGGGTGATGCCATGTGAAAGTACTGTGGAGGAAGGATGCTCAGAGCACTGCAGCACCCTGAGCTCAGCTGGAAGGCAGTGTCCCAACGGGACAGGGAATACATGTCTCAGAAAAGGTCCCACAGGAGGGCTGGTGGCTATGTGTGGATGTACAGTGTAGACTTGAAGGAGGATATTTGTTTTTGATTTTGGGGTGTGTGTGTGTGTGTGTGTGTGTGTGTGTGTGTGTGTGTGAGAACCTTGCCTGTTATTAAGGCTGGGAAAATGTGCTGAGAGCGAGAGATTGAAAGTACTGGAGTAAGGAAAAATAATAGGTGAAAAAAAAAGGCAAGAAGAGAGGGGGTTCAGAGCTCATGGGAAGAGCTTAGCCCACATTCAGAATGAGAAGTGTTGGCAAGGTGTTTGGGCACAAGGCTTAGGGCTAAAGGGACCTCTCCAGGTTCCTCTGGTGTGGCAGTCCCAGATTCTCAGCATGGAAAAGTAGGCACGGAATCTGGGGGAGAGCCTAGGGAGAGACTGTGGGTGTGTCACCTGGGTCCTGTGCCACCTTTCACAGGCACTTGATCATGACCTACGGAGGCTGTCTCGGGATCAGAACTCAGGGGAGCCCCTCAGGGACCCACAGGGCCTCCTTTCCCTCTCTCATCTTTCCTATAATGTCTCTGTTCACCCGCTGCTAGGTGTCGGACTGTCTCCTCTCCTCTCTCCTACACTCACTTCACTCACTTTGTAGTCTCACAAGCCCAGTGGGTTCACTCTTATCATCCAGTTGTGTGGATCAGTTTGCCAACCATTTGTTACCACTGACCTGAGTGGTTAATGCATTCTGGGGCCCTGAATGTTGAGCCCAGCTCTCCCCCTGTGAGTCCACAGATGCCAGCATCTGTGAAAGTCACAAACAGGGCACAGAGGTTCCAAATTGCTCCCAAACCCTTGCCATACAGCTTCTCTGCATATGTACTGCCTGTTGGCCCAGAGCAATGTGACAAAGGGTCACAAAGGAATTCAAAATATTCAAATGCTACATAGTTTCAAGTTGGAGTGGTTTGATTTGTAATAGATGCAGTAAGTGTGCCATATTATTTCCAACTCTTAATTTATTAACTTTTTCTTCCCAAGATAAACGTGATTACATTACTTATTTATACTATGTACATTACATTAGAAGGAAAAAAATGCATCAGGGTAAAAAAAATCATATACAGTTTTTTAAAATTAGTGTTTCTTATCGAGTGCTAATAACAGCTGAAATTATTAAAAAGGAAGAATCTTAAATATGTAACTCACCTTCAGAGCTTGGTACTGCTTGTTTATTTTTACACATTTTTCTAAATTTGACAGACAATCTAGAAATATAATCCTACTCACTTTCAATTCCTGATTTTTATACCAGTGCTGTGGTTTTGTGTTGTGGTTTGTGATATATCAAGAAAGGCAGCATGACATAGATGAGAAAGAAAATGGGAACCTTGAACCTGCATGTATTTTTTAGTTTAAAAGACAAGTGTGCCTTTTACTAGTTGGAGGTTGGGTTTATACAATTAAAGAGCCATTTGAATTTCAGTTTTTTTAACTTGCAAATACAGTGATGAATTTACTGGATGCTCATTATGAACCAGGCATTATGCTAAGCACTTTACTATGTTATCACCTTTAATCTTGATAGCAATCTGATTAAACAGTAGCTATCAGTATTATTTTCTCTATTTTGCAGATGAACAAGGTGAGAGTTGGATTAGCTAAATTGCCCACAGATATTCAACAGATAAGCCAGGGGCCAAAACTATGCCTCTGACTCTAAAGACTACCCTCTTAACCATTGTCCCACAATGTCTGGTCTGGAGATCAGCTCCAGTCCCAATACTAGAACCTGCATGGTAGATGTCATCTCTAAATTAAGATGAAGAAATAGCTGTTAGAGAAAATATCGCATCCCCAGAGGGAAGACCATAAGTGTGATAGTCCTTCAGCTGCCCTCCCCGCTCCTGGCCCCATTTCCTTCCTTGCTGAGGGTTTTTAGCATCAGGCCCACTAGTCCTCGGGGGAAGCAGCCCTCTGTTGATGGACTGGTAGGAAGGGCCATGATGCTCAACTTCATTTATGCCCTCCTCGTCCCAAAAGCATTTAAAGGGGACTTATCAATTTACATGACATGTTGCCCTGTTCATACCTTTCATATGGTTACATATATTATCTCGTTCAAACCTCCCAAAAACACTGATGAAAATGAACTTCAGAGACTTTAAGCAATAGGCTCAAGACAGCAGGGTATTTATAGTAGTACAAGGGGAATTTGGCTGCAAACTCACCATG